AAAAAAAAAAAAAAAAAAAAAAGAAAGACGCCGCGAGCGAAAGCGCGTGAGACATTCCGTTTATCTGCGGAGATAGAAATCTCCATAAAAACTTGAAGTGCAAATATTTTATACGTTTATTTAGAGTTTATTTTATGTCCACTTCAAATAATTCTCTAAGCGGTGACGAAGAAAAAAAAATCTGAAATGCAATTATTTTGCGGCAGAGTGATACGTAATCAAATTTTTCCGCTTTTCCGAAAGCGTAAACCTAGGAAAATTGATGATACGATTTTCAATCGTTAGATCTCTCTGAGTTGATCCGAGTAGATTTTCTCGTGTCCTTGGAAATTCGTCGAATTTATGTCGAGTTACGTAAATGATCTCTCTCTCTAAGTAAGTGGATAAACAAAATTGTACGTAAAATCTATACCTATAATCGAGATATATGTAAAGATTCTAGAGATGCCACTCGAGACTCGGACTATTAGAAAGTGGCGAGCCCACAAATCAGTCTTGCAATTATCAAAATTATATTATTCGAAAAGGGGGAGAATTACATGACGGGTGGCGGGGCAAAATCGTGAGCTTTCCCTTTCGCGGAAATGCATTTCCAACCGGGTGATTTGCTTCCCGTAATATCGGCACGTACTCCTGTAAATGCATTCGTATTGGCCACAAGATCTACGATGATTCGCGTTCTTCAACACGACGCGAAAATTACAGTTAGTTGTCATGTTAAACAAAGTTTTAATCATCCGTAATTGTGCACGAAGGGTATCTTATTTATTATATTAAATAAAGATGTAATGGGCAATTTAGCAATATGATAAATAAAAAAAAAAAAGTAAAGATGTCTTTATTGACGTTTTCTTTTAGTGCTGAAATTATAAAAGACAACAAAAGATTTGTTTACCATTTACGAGTGAGTTCTTCAAACTCGCCAGCGTTCTCCCATAGTTATTAAAATATCAGCGTGATCAAACACTGATTAAGTAATTTGATTAAGTAATTTGTATGTTATAACATTACGTCATATGCAAGATTTATTATGCCGATAATCAGAGCTGATAGTGATTGACGGAAAGATTAAGCTAATAAAACGATATTGCCGTCGATGTTATTATTAAACAAAACTGTCATCCATATCTCCTGTGTATTTTTACAGTCTTGTTCTATTTCGCAATACAAAAAATTGGATTGCATAAAAAAAGGGAGAAAGTGGTGAAGCCGGTAAATAAAAGCTAGTTTTCTTCAGCATCGGTAATGTTTCTTGAAAAAGTGCAATTTACTCGATTGAAAAATTCGTAGATGTGTCGTAACAGACTACATACATTACGTTAATTATACATTACGAAGAAATTAAATCAATACATAACATTTTACGTATCACTTAATATACAAGTAATGTAGTATACGTAATTATACGTAAGTGTTCGTTTTACTTTTAATTGCCATTACAAAACCTTCTTTGAAGAGAAGTATAAAAGAGAAGTCTAAAATGTCCTATACGTAAGTTTATTAAATAAAACTGAATGTGCATAACGGATTTTTTTAAATTCCTTTCAGAAAAAAAATTTTTAAAGGCATGTGAAACGAGATGCGTCCATGATCTTTACAAATGCTTCCGCATTTTAATAAAATGACATCCAGATAAGTAAATCAGATTTATGTAACATTTGATTGATATTATCTTCGATCTTCGATCAATTAAATCTTGGTTAAATCAGAATACAATTGTAAGGGTGTATATTTGACCAATTGATGAAGGAATTTTAAATTACCGATTTAAATTTAATTTCATTGTAAGCCCAATATCTTCTTGCGAGAGTGACGCACACGCTGGCTGATTGCATACAGCATCTCGCGCGAATAGAATTTCATTAAATCGAATCTATTCGAATTACGTAATTGACAACAAATACGAAAGTCAGTCATCGCGCACCATCCGTTTCATTGGCCGCCAATTATGGGTTCACTTTGAAATGTACTAATCTATTGTTGCGATATAGCAACAACCATAAATGACAGCTAAGGCGTTGCATTTAGAAATCGGATCGCGTTTCACTTTCATATATCGAGGTTATTATTACATTTCTGTGCATGTGCGTAGAAAAAGAAAGTTACCGCATCTCCTCAACGGGATATAACTTTTTACAATCCACGTCCTCACTTTCGTCGCGCTCGCACGAAACGTCAAGTGTCAATCCGATATATCCTGCTTTGTTGAAAATAAAAAATAAAATTACGACGCGTTAAAAATAACTTATTCTACTTTTACTATCTTTCTCCTATTGGCTTTTCTATATACTCTTTTTCTCACTTCTAATTGGACTTGCTTTGGAATAGAGATATATTGCCAATTAATATTCTATAATTTAAAGTAGTAAGTTGATAAGCTTGGCAAAATTCCAAGTTATAGGCATAACTTAGATAAATCTGTTTCTTATTTTCAAATATCCAAAAGTTAGTGAAATTCTATTTTTATAATATTAGCTCATTAAGAAAAACGTTGATCTTTAAACATCTTTGCGTTATATATCTTGTCACACGATTTCTCCAATATTCATATTAAAAATTAATATGTTCGAAAAATAACCAGTATCGTTTTGTGATTTGGAATTGTAATTAGGAAGAGACTATTATAAACCGGTTTTACCAAAACGTACATACGTACGTATTTTAATAAAGTGATCCATGATTGCGTAAAATCCGAAATGGAAACAAATAGGAAAAGATTTTATATAGCACTCAGTATCAAAATAATTTGTTATGCAATTTAATTAAAATACTCTAAATTTATCTAAAAAAAAAAAGAAGAGGATGAAAAATATATTTTCGTACAAATACATGTCAAGAGAATTAAATTAATAAAGTAGAAATTTCGATTCAAAACCGGAACAAATTTCTATGACAATTTTTTTTTTTTAATTTGATTCAAATAGACCGGACACTTTCATCAGAAAGTAATTACAAAAAATTCATGGGCTTTCCTTTCAAATTATTAATCAAGGACGTCGTAGTTTCTTGTATGCGACCTCAAGTCAATGTAAGAATGTAATCCAATGCCAGACGGACATTAATATTGCCAATGCCGGTTAGATATTGCAACATTATCTCCAATCAAGTATGCAAACGTGTTTCTCTTTCCAAATCACTTTCTCCGATACGCTACATAACATAGCACTTGTTGTGACATATAAATATGCAGCGTGGAAAAAAAAATTTAACAATTTGCAATAGTCAAAAAGACATACCGAAGTAAATAAAGTAAAAAAATACATATCCTCTCTTAATGCTAAATACAATATTAATTGTCTAATTATTTTTATTATTTTTATTATAAAATAATTATCGAATTATTATTGTTATTAAAGTTATTATAAATTTTATAAATATAGCGGTGTAATCTATGTATTCTACTAGGACAATTTACAAACTGCAATTACATCACTTACTTTAATGATTCTAGAAGCAGCATCGTCTGAATTGGATTTTTTTACACTTGAAATAATTTTTTTATTACAACATTCAAATGTTAATTCTATCGCGTTCTTATGAATGTAAGTGGACTCTTATTTCTTATTGTGCAATTATTTGTTCGTAGCACTAGTTGCGACATTTTGCAAAATAAAAATGTTGAAGTAAAATGTTGAATGCCTTTTAAATTAAGAAAAAACGACGAATTGAGCAACAAGACACTCTCTATGGCTCTTGGAGTGTCTCTTAAAATTCCCCCTGAGAGAAAAACGTATGGCAAATTACAACGTTACCTTCTTCGTAAAATTACTTTCTTTTGTTGCTTTCAATACTGGAATAGTCCGGTGCACATATCTGTAATAAGCAACATATATAGCATATAGCATTTATTCTGGTTGGCTCTGGCTCTATTCTTTCTATTTTGTGAAATTTACTGCACGCGTAGCAATAAACTGTCCTTGAATTGAGTAATGAGGATCTGAAACTCTTATATAGAAATTATAATTAAAATAAGCGTCATGCAATCCCAGAATTCCTCGTACTCGTGAAATACATTAAAATTCAGAGTTTATACAACAATTAAAATATTGCTGCAAATGCAACACGCAATATGGTAAACTGTATAATAACTGGTAATAAGTAAATACATATCTATAACTACATCGCGTTTGACGCTTCGTTTACAAGTTTCGTTTACAAGTTTTGCAGTTTAGCGAAGCAAATCGTATAACATTGCGAGTTATCTGACTTTGAATAAAACATGAAGTAATATTTATACTGCATTTCTGTCTAATTATAAGGCTCAACGAAATGAAATGTAGTTGCGCATTTATATTTCGTACATAGATAAAGTTGCGGAGTAAGTTTGAACTTGACTTTGGAATGCCGCAATGCATGGAACTGAGTCACGACGACAAATTTATTGTCATGCAAATCCGATTGACAATATGCATCTGCATTGTGCCGAATTCATCAAACATCTGTAGTAGGGAATGATCGGTGAGAATGTTTTGATAAAATCCAAGAATGAAAGAGACATGAAAATCTCCCTTTTAATCTCCCTTTTATTTTTATTGTCTCTTTAAAATTTTTTCAAATTTATTTTTGTAACAACGTTGATAAAAATAAATATTTTTAAAACCTTTTTTTTAAACGTAAACGTCACATATTATGAAATCAAAATCCAATTTGTTTATTCAAATGTATAATATCAATTTTTAAACAAGTAAATGATCTCTAGAGATCAATTTTATAAAATTTTTAAATGAATTTATGTAATTCGAACGAAACGGAAATTAATTCTTTTTTTCTTAAATTGAAATTAATTTCGTATTTTTACAAATTAAGATAGAAGAAAAAATTACATTTTAATGTTACAAAGAATTACAAAGACATAATATTGTAACTTTTATTTTTCTTTAAAAACATGATTTCATAAATCACTTGTTGGAAATACAAATACAATCAATTAACTATTAAAAAATTATTTTAGATTTAAATTAATAATTTTTGCTCATTATTTTTCTTTTAGCGCAAATTTGAAATTAATTTGTTATCTAGATCTCGACAAATGAGATTCGAAAAAGAATGAATTATCGGAAATTGTTTGTAACGTGCTAGGCTTTAGAATAAAATTCTTTGGAAATTAAAAAAGAGAATAAGAGTCGAAATATTAAAAAACCGTTCCCGGTACGAAAAAAATGGTGACGTCGATCACAACTGCAGCCACAATTATGCAGCCGTAAGTGATGTAACTGAGATCGCGATCGAACTGAGATCGCATGTAATGCAGTTCTGTAAATCCGCCATCATACTGACGATTAGATAATATCTTTTACTTCCTGAATAGAAAGTACGTTGAAGTCATTTGGAATGTAAGCCTCACGCCTTCTCAAAGACGATCGTCGTTTTGTCCGCGATAAAGAAGGATACTTTATATTACATCACTCGTAAAAAAAGCTCGCGTGCTCGAATGCGTGTGTGGCGATTATGCAGCCCGGTTATTTAATCAGATAGAACATTACTGCGGCCCGGCATCTAAGCAAAGATTGCTAATTTCGTATTAGATAATAAGCCAATATCGCTCGTTAATTTACAAACGATGTTACGCGCAACACTCCGCCGCAATGCCGCTTATTGTTTTATTGTTACTTGTAGCAATCTGCAATATCTTTTACAAATCTTTCTGCGCCATAGTTTTCGTCTCATTAAGATTTTGAGACGAAAAAAGTGTCTTCTATCTAATGTTTTCAAAGTCTTCTAAGAATCTTCCTCAATTGATAAACAGAAACACAACTTTTTGTCTTGCCATATTATAGATTTTTAATATTTTAAAATTTTCTAGACCTTTCTTTAAAACATTCTTATGTAATGTACAATCAAATTTCTAATTCTAAAATGGACTCTTTATCTCTAGATTTTTATTATGATTTTTCAGAGAAAAATAATAAAATTTCTATTTCAATCTAATATTAAGCTTGCCGAAGCTTGGAAAATTATAATGTGGATCCACTTCAGAAATATAAATTTCTGAAATACGTTTATAATTTATTTAAAAACATTTCTAAATTTATTTTTTTTTTATTTAAAATATAAATATAACGTTTACTGACATTGGATCCCTTTTTTGTTTCAGTCGATGATGCATCCGGTAGATTCACCAACGGATTTTTCTGGGGTAACTCTTATTTTACGGGATCAGCCAGCGAATGTGACTATATCGGAAAGAACGCTGTACATGACACATATTCAAAGAACTATATAAAAAATTCCAAAGATACTACGTTCGAGGAAGTTCGTGAATTTAACATGGAGCCACGAAAAAGAATCAATAAGGGTCTTAGTGGAACCAATATCTGGACTCAAGCAAACTCTGTCGAAATGCCTTTCCAATTGGGATTTTATATGCTGAAACTTTCTGTAAATGTATCCTATGCACCAGTACGTATCATACTGTAAATTTATGTGTGCAATTGCAAAACATTTTTTATTATAATTTCTTTATTTTAATTTATGTTTTTTCCTATTCTATATATAAAAAGCAAATTCACAGACATTTAACAAATATGTCATAGTTCTCAAATAATAAACTTGTCAAATTAAAAATAATTAAAAATATTATAATTAATAATTAAAAATATATAAATAACATATTATAAATATATAATAACTTTAAATTATTATAAACATAAATTTAAACATAAAATAAGAAATATAAAAAATGTAAAATATAAAATCATTTTTAACGTTTTCAAAAAACTCAGCAGAAAAAAGAATTGATATCTCAATATTTCAATTTTAATATCTTGATAATTGTTTTTAAGTATCAAATTCAGAGTCTTATTATAAACATAACATATAATTTTATAAAAAAAAAAATAGAATCTTTTTTTCGACAATTCCCGAATTATTGTTTCGAGGAAATATCTGAATTCTCAAAGAAAAATCTTTTTATTTTAAAAATAGGAGGATTGTTTAGATTATTTTATGCAAAAGTTTTAATACGAACATCTGCAAATGTTTCAGACAAGACTGATTCACTTGGGCGTTTGTCTACCGTATTCGTGTTCTGCTTCCGACGTCGCCGTGATCGGAAAACTCGCTGCGAGCGAGTTTGCAGCGAAACACTCATCAATTGAAAAAGTCAGAGACCAGCACAATCCGTATGACATGTACACAGATCCGATTTTCTGGATTCTATCGTAAGTTTGGCAAGAAAGAAGGTGCTATTTGATTATCATAAAAAAAAAAGTTTATTTTAAAAGAAACAAAAAAAGTATGTATATCTCCAGCTCTCCTGGCTTATTATTATATCTTGCTCTTATTAGCGTCGTTAATTCAAAATAAATAATTCAAAATAAAGAAAATTAAGACCAATTAGATATGCGCGAACAATCCTCGTAAAAATTAAAATTCGATTTCAGGGGTGTCAGTGCGGTGATGCTGATATTGATGATCCTCGGCACTGGGTACGATTATTATCTATCAAAAAAATTAGCTCCCAAGAAAAATGTAATCTATGATTTGGAGAAGCATGGAAAACTCGATCATCTCACTAATGGCGATCGAAAGATAAATGGTAAAGAACTCGATCAACAATTTTTTTGATCATCTGCCATCATTACATGGGACGAGATAATCAACGTATTAACATCATGGAGATTATCCTGCTTTTTATGAAGAAATATCGCAGATTCTTCATGCATTCTTTTATGCGTTTTTTTTTTTGATCAATTAAAAATTGATATCTTTTTAGTAAATCTTTATTCAAATGTGATTCTTTATTAAAATTTACTAAAGTAGTAAACGCATTGAATAAAGAATCAGAAGAATTTTTTATTAATGCATGCGTAAAGCTTAACTTTTCTGAAAATCGTCAAATTTAAATTTCAGAAGCTAATAACACATTTGTTCTTGTCGAGGAAAAATCTATTCTTAAAATGAAGAATTACATAGATAATAAATATATACAATAAATATCTGAAACATCATATACAAAACTGAGTCGAAAATTACAGAAATAAGAATTAGACGAAAAAAAATCGCTGTTACATTCACTAACAAATTGATAACTAACTCGTATTGCGGTGGAACGTTGGAACGAGCAATGTTCTAATCGTAAGAAACAATTGGCATTTAGCGCGATAGGTATCTCATAACGATAAAAATACAGACTAATACAATGCACGACTACCACTTACAGAGTACCAAGACAAGACAAGGACGGTATCAAAATTAGTGATACGATTTATTATTATATTCCGTAGCTGTTCAAGGTAAGGCCTACCTTCCTGTTCCAGTGGCAGATTCTAGCAACGGCACACAATCGATTAATAATAACAACGGTCACGAGAATGGTTTGCAACCGTCCCCCATCAAGGAGGAGCAACATCTTAGTATGTTAAATTTTTGTATTTCGTTCACATCAATCTTTTATTCCTAGAATAAAAGATATCATTAAATATCATAAAAAAATAAATAAATTAAGGAAAGTTATAGAAATCCACTTTAGCGGACTTGAATATTCAATATTCATTTTATAAAAGTTCATTCATTTTTTTAGAAAGATATAAGACTTTTCTTTATTCCTTTCTGTTTTTAACATCATAGTATGATTAACTTAAATTAAAAATATAAGAAAAATTATATTTACAATATATTCGTTTTAAATATTGCTTTTTTTCTAATTCTCTTGATTGTTTGTTTTAAAGATTAGATTAGATCAAAACGAAAAGGATAGAAAGTAAATTGATGATAAAATTATTTCTCTTTTTGGTTTGGAAATACAATCATCTGTTCTTTTTAATTAGCATAGTCGTTGCGGTGTAATGAGTCTTCTGGTTGTTTTCATAGGCATCTTCGAGGAGCTTCTTCTTTCATTTTCCGTTACTGCCAATATGAAAATTATCTGCGACCGTAACGTCGGAGGAGACACAATTAGCACCGTACACGGACTGAGAGCGATATCGATGGCCTGGGTCATCCTCGGACACACATGCATTGTCGTTTTTAAGTACTCGGACAACATGGAATATCGCAAAGTGGTGGAGAAGCGATTCCTCTTCCAGACTATTACAAACGGGGCTTTTAGCGTCGATACCTTCTTCTTCATGGGCGGTTTGCTCGTGAGCTTTCTGTATTTCAGAACCAACGCCAAGGGAGACCTGAAGAGACTCACGCAAGGCACGCGAGGCTTCGCCTCGGGCACCCTGAAATTCATTGGGCTTCTTTTGTACCGATTTTGCAGGCTCACCACGCCGTACATGTTTGTGCTGGGTGTAGTCGAGGTCTCGATGAAGTATTTCTACGCAAATTCCGTTTTCGAGCCGCCCACAGCGGATCATTATAATTGTCCAAATTATTGGTGGAGGAATTTGCTTTATATCAATACCTGGTTTCCCGTCGAGCAAATGGTGCGTATTTAATTTATTCTCTCTACAGATGCTTAATTTTTCTCAAGCTTTTCGTCGAATATTCGTTATATTGAAATATTCTTTGTTTTTTCATAACGTAATGAAATATGATGAGAATGGTATATTTTGTTTATAATTATAAAGTGTAGATTCAATTTTCTACAAATCTTCCTTTTTAATCTCCTCTGTTTCTTTTCGGAGATTTACAAATTTTATATTGCCCCCCCATCAAACGAACACATAAGTTTTATATTGTGACATTACAGTGCATGCTTTGGAGTTGGTATTTAGCGGACGATACACAGTTTTACATTGTGGGCGGAGTGATATTGATATTGGCTACGAATCATTTCAAAATCGCAGCTTGCGCATTAGTTAGTCTATTAATAAGCTCGTGGGCAACCACCGGTTACATCGCTTTAGTCAATAATCATATGCCAAGCTCAGACGATCCCTTGGCCCTCTTCGACAAGATCTATGACAAGCCGTGGACGAGATTGGGCCCCTATCTGATCGGCATGTCTGTCGGTTACTTCCTCTTCAAGACTGATTGTAAAATGAAAATGTCTAAGGTACGATCATTGAACCATCCTACTTGGAATGAATGCAGAATAATGACAACTAAGCTTGTCAATTGGACAAAGATCACATAAAATGGGTTCTTTCTCATAACATTTGCTGTCATTTTTGTAATAAAGATTTCTAGTATGATAAAAAGAGATGAATTTTCCATCGTGACTATCTTTCCCAATTGAATTCTCAAAAAAAAAAAAATAGCTGCGTTCATTCCAGTTGAGGCTTAGATACGAGCAATTCTATACAGAAGAAAATTCAAAGAATAAACAATCAAAAGATTGGCATGTCTCTTAAATGTTTTTATATTGTTTGAAGATTCTTCGTTGATGCAAAATCAGAGATTTGGTTTTATATTACTTAGGAACGATTTTAAATATTGTAAATATCCTAGACTACCGTCGTCGTGGGATGGCTCTTATCTTCCGCATGTCTTTTGAGTTTGCTTTATGGTCTATACGAAGCGGAACTCGCGCCTGTGACTGCAGCTGCGTATTCATCGTTGAGCCACAGCGCGTGGGCGCTAGGTCTAGCGTGGATTGTAATAGCGTGCAGTACTGGTTACGGTGGTGAGAAAAAAAATATGTATATGTTGATAAATCATTTGGATTAAACTGTTGATAAATATCAGACTAGTCAATCACTGATTACTAAGGCAGTAAATGGATGCTTTTTTTTTCTAGGATATGTAAATAAGATTCTGTCGTGGCCACTCTTGTATCCATTCAGCAGAGTGACCTACTGCTCCTACTTAGTTCATCCGCTTGTAATTCGTCTAACTGCTATGAATTTAGATTCTCCATTTCATCTAGGAAAAGACATAGTGGTAAGTTTAAGGAAAAAACTTTGATTAACGACAGACTATCATAAAATCTTCATTAACATCTTCATTTTTCAGATGATAACATTTTTGGGACAGCTTATACTGTCGTATGCGCTATCGTTTGTAGTATCAGTCACTTTTGAAGCACCGGTGGTCAGTATGTTGAAGATTCTCTCGCCAAAAAAGCGAAAACGTATACAATAGATATTAAAATATGTATTTAATGTGTATATCATATGACCGTACAATTATTTATACAATCTTATCTATACATTATATATAATATAATTTCATAAAGATCTGCAAAGAACAATGGAATATCGGACCGTTCTTACGTACACACATGTATTAATGTATCGTTTAATTTGTTTCAAACATATTTGAACAACATTTTACATATAACAATGTAGACTTTTCTGTGTATTGCTAGATATAAAATAAATTATTTTTCTTTGTATATAAATATTAATATTTTCATGAATGAGAACTGATCCGAAAAGAAGACTAAATTTGAAACTACTTTGAACTTCAAGGTTGGTTTATTTGTACTAAAATTATAATATTAAAATTGATAAAATTCATCTTCTCTTTTTACAGAAATCAATGCCCTTTTTACAGATGAATATTAATCTAATTTTTTATAAAAGTATTATATTATCGTATTAATCTTAACATTAAATATTAATGTGAGAAATTATTTTTTCTATCACTTACAAAGCACTCTCTATTGCGACTTCCGTATTAACATCGACAAAGAATGGACCTTCCTTAACAAATTGCTTAAATTTTTGCATAGTGTCCGCGTCGAATATATTTCGCTCTGCTTGAGATAAACATTCTACAATTTCATATTTAACATCCTTACATTCCTTAAATGCTTCGATATTTCTATCTAACAGGAATTCCACTAGACCAGGATACGTGGAGATGTATATTTGTCCCCATACTTGAGAACTAATAACCGCCAGCACCTCTAAACCAGCCCGTCTGATATCGGCAAACGGTTGTCTACATATCGCTACAATCATACCCAACGGATCATCACACAGCGAATTAAACCATTGTTTCGTCAGGAATAAAATTTTATTGTCTTGCTCGTCCTTGTTGACTTTGAGTATAAGGGCGAGGCTGTTCAAGGCGCGAATTCTCAGATCAGTGGGCATTCCCTTTATTATTTCAGCGATCTTCTTGAGAACACTGGGCATCGCGTTTCCCAGAGCTTGTAATGCATACTTGCCCTCAACGTTTGCACATACATATCCAAGAGTGTCCAATGCAGGTGCCAGAATAGTTTGATCCTCACTATCTATCACATTGAAAAGTGTGGAGACTACCACAGGATATTTGGAAAGTAACTCGTTATGCCAGTGATATGCAATTTTACCAAAAAACTTCATCAATCCGGGGATCAGAAGATTTGACAAAGGATTCTCGTCGACTTGTGCTATTCTTTGAACTAGCTTGCTTATTACCTCTTGTTGCTCCAGATAATTCAGACCATTCTTAGATACAGCTAGTTGAGTTAACATCTCCAAGGCATTCAATTGAAGCAATATATCTTCGTTTTCTAGTAAATTGATCAAACTGTTCAGAAAGCCTGATTCAGCTGATACTTCCAAACCATCCTGAGATGTACTGGCTATATGTACAATTACTTCGTAAATGCGAAAGCTAACAGTATCATCCTGAAGTAGCTTGGCAAACGTTCTCAGAAGCATGCCCTTATACAATATGCGTAAGATATTCGGATTTTCACCAACTTTTTTGATTATACTCATAGCACATTGAGCAACATTCAAGTTATTATCACCGATTCTGTTTACAATCGAAATCAAAAGAGTAGTGTCCTTGCAGAAATAAAATATCTTTTCTGGGTGCAAAGCTATACGCATAAATTCACGTAGCAGAAGCAGTCTCACATTAGCATCTTCATTGGTTATTAAAGTAGCCGATTCCACTGGATATCTGTCATAAAGTTCTCCAGGTTCCAATATGCTGAACAAGATGGTCAGAATATCGCATATTTGCTCTATTACTTCTCTGTAAAAAAGGATAAATGAGATTTATATTTTATTCAATTACATTTATGATTACATTCATGAGAGCCAACAGAAAATTCATTTGTCATCATACTCGTCATTCGAGGTTAGCAGCGGATATATCAGTTCATACTGCATGCCACGGGCGATCTGCTCCGCTTCATTATTGTCCAAGGTGCCGAATTTGGCTTTAAAATTCGTAAGAACGTTTTTCTTCTCCTCGACATTGTTTAACGTGAACAGACGCAAGATTTCGTTTTGGTACCACTCCGTCATGATCGGCACATCGACAACTTGCATCAACCAACGATCCGCTGACCCATTCAAAAAAATATGACGACGTTTACGTCTCTCCTACAATCCATAGCAAAAAAAGCTTTAAATATGAAAAAACTAAAACTTCGAAAACCGGAATTATTATTCATTCTATAAATAATTGTCAGGATATTCGTTTAATTGGAAATTTAAATAATTATTTAAATAATTATTCCATTTACTATAATAAGATTTTTAATTTCAAGATTAGCATTATGTGGATTCCCTTTTATAGCAGGATTTTATTCAAAAGATTTACTTATAGAAATTATTTATGCTTTGAAAAATAATGTTTTATTATTTTTTATACTTTTTTATTGTAATATATGCTGAAATTTGTATAAATTTTTTAAATAATTAATTTATAGTATAATATTAATTTTATTTAATTATACATATTGTGTGTGTGTGTGTGTGTGTGTGTGTGTGTGTATT